AATATTGAGCTATATTACTGCTTAAAGACTATGCAGTATTTCAGTGTGCAATTAGTAAATAATTAGAATTCATTGAGCACACTTCCCATTATTTAATATTTACTTGCTTACAGTTTTCCCCACTGTTTTTAACTGCCAGTAAATGTCTTCTTCTCTTACCTGATGTTTTCTTAGGGGAAACTGCCGAAGTAGACTTGCTGAGCCAAATGTTGCTATTGTTGGGACCATTGATACATTTCTCAAAACAACCTCTCCAAATGCAGCCTGTACTCTCCCAGGAGGGACAGAAGCTGTTACTTTGTTGTGTTGGGTCTATTTGCTGTTTGGATTCAGAAAGGAGAGGAAGCTGAGCACGGAAGGGGCACTAGGAAAGCAAAGCAACCTTGTGCTTCTTTAGCCAATTGTGCTGGTTCACCTTCCACCAGAAGGTGTCTCTCTTTTAGGTCATCCTGGAATAGCCCACTGAAGTTACTTCCACATTCCCACAGACACTCAGAAATGTGAGCAGTCTTTTGTGAGCTGGCTCTCAGCTAATAAGAGGCTAACTGTTGTAACCTATGGAGAGTCAACCTCACTCAGACACAAAGTTGGGTGAATTAGAGGTGAGCTTTATTATCTGCGCAGGGACTGCAGCCAGCCTGCACAGAGGAGAACTGCAGCCCCGCAGTCAGGGGGAGGGTTGCTTATATAGGACAGGGGTCATTTAAGAGTTTAGCAGAGCAAGCAAGGTATGTGTAACAGTTACAGTTTTATGGGGTAAAGGGAGCTTCAGTTTCTCCCTATCAGTTTATTTACAGAGCATGCAGGATATTCTGGCCTTGGGGCCATTTCTGTCCTCCCTTTTTCTGAAGGAATGTTTTCTTTCAAATTCCCAGTGAAAGCCATCTATACATCCCCATTGTTTCTCTTGTTGTCCCTGAGGCTGTTAATTTAGGGCAGTTCAAAGACAAGTTGTTTTTCTTTATTGAATTCCAAGGATAGTGAGCTATAACACTACACTGCTCCGTCTCTTTTCTCACTCTCAAGCTGCTCTAATTTAATTTAGTGTAGGAGTGCCCATTATTGTTGGGATTACAGTATATGTGGCTTATATTTTTTTAAAACCCCATTGCCTACCATATGCATCCCTGGGCCATACCCGCAAATTGGGCACCTGCCCTTACAGGGAACAGAAACCCGACCCTTGTTGTAGGGCAGATGCTCCAAGCAACTGAGCCACAGGGACCAGGGCGTGGCTTAGATTTCTTGATTAACTTTCCTGCTGCCCCCTTGGCCCAGGATCTCCTCTTTGCACTCCTGCTCTGTGCTTCTCCTTAGGGTTCATCCCTCCACCAGTGTCCCCGCTCTGCCTCGCCCCGGGGTGCAGAGGGCGCTCGCTCCTCTACGCTGGGTGGCCCCGCACCTTTGGCTGTTGCCCCTGGTGCTCAGATGGATGCCGGGCTGCGGGGAAACGGGGCCCATTCTCGCCACTCCGTGCGAGTGGGCTGCCCGCATTGGGCCTCCACTCTGGCTTCTCGGGCTCTGCCTCCTTTCCCCCCAAGGGCGCTGAGTCCCCTCTGGGCCCGCCCCCGGCCCGCCCCTTCCGGCGCTCACACTTGCGGTCGGCTGGAGCGCGGGCGGCAGGGAGGGACTGTGCGGTCCGCTGTCCCTGCCGCCCCGCAGGTTGGGAGGACTTCCCAGACCCCGGTCCGGGATGGGGCAGGCCCGCTGCTACCGCCGCTGCGACTCTTCGTGCCCGCGATGCAGAGCCGGGGTGAGTGCGCCCGGCGAGGGTCTGGAGGAGACCGCGGGGTCTGGGAGGGCGGCGGGCGCCCGGGGTGCCGGGGCCTGTGCCGGGGGTAGTGACCCGGCGCTGGGGAGCGGGGAGGCGGAGCTGGGGGAGGGGGCGCGGAGCTGGGGGTTAGGAGGCCGGGGTGAGGCGCGGTCCGCTCTCACGCCGGTTACCTCTGCGCAGTACCGGGAGCGGGACGCCGGGCGCCACCAGCACTGGGCGCTGCCACCGGCCTGGGAGCGCGTGGGGTGGAGCCGCGTGGGTCCCGCGGAGGTCACGGAAGGCCCCCTTTCCCGCGGGGACGAGTTCGCGCTCGTGTGCGCGCTGCGAGTCCCCACGTTCTCCTCCGAGAAGACCGTGGTCGCAGATGTGGTCAGAAATGTGCGGAAACGCCCCCGGACACCTCTAGGGGCTGGACCCGCTCTGGCGGGATCTCTGGGGGCCGGGCCTGCAGACGCTCAGGCTGCGGGCTTGGGGCGGGTGTTTGGGCGCGATGGACCGAGGACGGAGCCTGGAAGGGGTGGCCCTCCGGGTGCTCCCACTGGGCCCTCATGGGCAATACTAGTGCCCCTCTGGAGGACACCCTGCGGCGGTGCTGGGCCAGGAGAAAGATACCCGTTACTGTGGACAGGATCGCCAGTGCTTGCACAGCGTCTAGGTCTATCCTGGTTCTGCCAGGTGCACGCGCAGGTAGTCCAGGGTAGACGGTGGCTGGGTGAGCACGGGCGGTTCAGCACCCACAGCTGGTTCGCAGTGAGGGATAAACAGGTTAGAAGTCTGGCCTTAACCTGGCCGGTTTGGGTCAGCGGTTAGAGCATCAGCCCACGAACCAGAGAGTCCAGGGTTTGGTTCCCATTAAGGGCATGTGCCTCGTTTGTGGTTTTCCCCTGGCCCAGTTGGGGTCTTGTGGGTGGCAACCACTCCATGTGTCTCTCTCACATAGATGTTTCCCTCTCTCTCTCCCTCCCTCCCTCCCTTCTGCTCTATCTGAAGATAAATGCAAAAATGTCCTCTGGTGAGGATTAAAAAAAAGAAGAAGTCTGATCCACTTCTGTTGGAAGCAGGGAGAAACTTAAAACAGGCCCTTTGGGGTGGGAGGGATCGGGTTATGCTGATAAACACAAATCAGGCATTTTTCCTTAGTTAAATTATTTCCATCCAGCACTCGGGTTTTTTTGACCACGGATATGGCTAAGTGGTTTTCACTTATTAAAGTCAAAGGTGTTTTTTAAGAATACTAAGGTACAGTTAAACAAGTTACTTACAATTTTTCCTTTTTAGTGTGTTTTTGGTTTTTGTGAATTTTTGGGTTTTTTTTCTTGTCAAAAACTCGGTCAAATGAAAAATTCTCACGCAGTGCCTTCGTTTGCACATTAAATTACACTAAAGCAATTTATAATTTGGGACAACACAGCAATTTGAAACAAACATCAAAGAACTAAAACAAGTCTGTTTTCCATGCCCAAACCCTCAAATTCCTCAGCATTTCTACCAGACCCATTTTTTCATAATCCTCCAGTCTGCTATATTTTTCTAGTACTGAGGGCTGGCCATCAGTAGCCTTGGAGGTAGTGAATGTAGTGAAAAGTATGGGAAAATAATGGGAACAATAGTTTGGTGTAAGATATTAGAAAATAGAGTGTTTTTTTTTTTTTTCTTCTACGTTTTAAAAAAGCTGTAATAAAAAAGTTTGTAGCCCTGGCCAGTTTGGCTCAGCAGTTAGAGCCTCGGCCTGTGGGCAGAAGGGTCTCAGGTTCAATTCTCGGTCATGGGCATGTACCTGGGTTGCAGGTTAGATCCCTGGTCCTGGAAGGGGGCCTGTGGGAAGCAACCAATTGATGTGTCTCTCTCACATTGATGTTTCTGTCTCTCTCTCTTCCTCCCTTCTTCTGTATCTAAAAATAAATGGGAAAATATCCTCAGGTGAGGATTAACAACAACAACACAAAATTATAGCTCATAGTCAGCTTTAGTCAGATAATCATGAAAGGTCTGTTAAAATCCACAGAGTAGGAAAAAAAATTTCTCCGATTTTTCTGCAAGTTCCTTTTTTCCTTGAAGATGGGAGATGTCTGATAATGTTGGAGCTTACCTTGTGAAAAGCTTAAAGAATGCTCTGCTCACTGGCAGAATTAGAGCAAAAGTAAGAGTGCTGTGTTGAGGTTAAAAATTGAAATTAGACTCGGTTTAGTTTTGAGATTTTTACCTTTCACATTGTGAGTTCTCGTGGAATGCTTACGAGACAGGAGAAAGAATGAGATGATAGAGTGACTATGTGTGTGGCCTCTACGCTGTAGAAGAATGGATAAATAACCTTTACCCACCACTTCAACCAGGAATCCTCCCCCCATCCACACAGATACCATCCCTCAGAGCCACAGGCAGAAGTGAGAGTGCTGACATTTCAGTCCTCCCTCTGATCAGCCTCTGGTGGGGGTGCTAGTGAGCAGCACACCAGGCAAAGGGGGGCTGTTAGGCACTGGGAGAGGATAGAGGAGAAGTAAAAGTGGGTAACCGTGAGGGTATTTCCAGGTCCTGACCCATGATGAGGCTGTGTGTGCAGCTAAACTCACCCTTTAGAACATTTGGGCCTAAAAATTCTTAAATGTTAGTGTATTTGTCCCGGATTGATGCTGGAACATGCATTACAATATACCGTCCACATTTTCCCAGGGAGAACTTTGATTTGTCTCTTTGCTTTGGGGCTTTGTAACAATGGCTTCAATGCTTTTTGGAAGTAAGTAGGGAATAGGTCACAAATAAATAATTTTTAGAAAGTTATCCTTTATTTTCTTTAAACATTTTTTATTTTAAACTACAGTTGACATACATTATTATATTAGTTTTGGGTGTACACCCCAGTGATTGCACAGTACATAACTTTACTAAGTGATCATCCCAATAAATCTTGCACCGTCTAATATCATACATAGTTATTAGAATATTGTTACCATGTTCTCTATGTTGTACTTTATATTCCCATGACTATTCTGCAGTTACCAATTTGTACTTAATTTTTTCACCTTTTTATGTCCATCCTCCCAACACCTCTCCTATCTGGCATTTGTCAAAACGTTCTCTGTATTTATGAATCTGTTTCTGTTCCACATGTTTGTTTATTCTGTTTTTATATTTAGTTGCTGATAGACACGTACTTATTGCATTTTTATTGTTCTTTTTAAAAAATTCATACCCAAGGATATTTTTCTAGAGCTTTTCAGACAGTGGTGGAGGGGCGGGAGGAGAGAGAGAAACATTGATGTGAGAGAGACACACCAACCGGCTTCCTCCCACATGACCCTGACCAGGGCTGGGGATTGAACCACAACTGAAGCATGTACCCTTGACCGGAATCGAATCCACGACTCTTCAGTCCACAGGCTGACACTCTAACCGCTGAGCCAAACTGGCCAGGACAATTGTTTATATTTTTTACCTTTTTGTTTCCTTCTTCTTCTTAAAGAAGACCCTTTAAGGTTTTATATAATACTGGTTAGGTGGTGGTGAAGTCCTTTAGCTTTTTGTTGTCTGGGAAGCTCTTTATTTGTCCTTCAATTCTAAATGATAGCTTTGCTGGGTAGAGTAATCTTGGTTGTAGGTCCTTGTTTCTCATATATTTGCATGATTCTTGCCATTCTCTTCCGACCTGCAAGGTTTCTGTTGAGAAATCAGCTGACAGTCTTATGAGACCTTCTGAGTAGGTAACGAACAGCCTTTATCTTACAGCTTTTAAGATTCTGTCTTTAACCTTTGCCATTTTCATTATGATGTGTCTTGGTGTGAGCCTCTTTGGCTCCGTCTTGTTTGGGACTCTCTGTGCCTCCTGGACTTGGTCTTTTTCCTTCACCAAGTTAGGGAAGTTTTTAGTCATTATTTCTTCAAATAGATTCTCGATCCCTTGCACTCTCTCGTCTCTTTCTGGTACCCCTGCGATGTGGATGTAGTTACACTTTATGTTGTCCTGAAGGTTTTTTTAACTATCCTCATTAAAAAACCTTGTCTTTTCTCTTTGCTGCTCTAATCGAGTGTTTTTTTTCTACCTTGTCTTCCAAATTGCTGATTCATTCTCTGCTTCATGTAACCTACTGTTGATTCCTTCCAATGTATTTTTTATTTCAGATAGTGCATTCTTTATTTGAGACTGGTTTCTATGTCCTTTTTCATGCTGTTGAACATCCTTATAATCACTACTTCAAACTCTATACCTAGTAAATCACTTGCCTCTATTTCATTTACCTATTCTTCTGGAGAATTCTCTTGTTCTTTCATTTGGGGCCTGCTTCGTTGTCTCCCCATTTTGGCTGCCTCTTTGTGTTTGTTTCTATGTATGAGGCAGATCTGCTATGAATCCTAGTCGTGGTAGGGTGGCCTTGTGTAGTGGGTGTCTGTGGGACCCAGTGGCATAGTCCCTCTGATTTCTGAGCTAGGCATGTTTCTTGTGGGCATTATGTGGGCCCTCTTGTTATGACTGAGTTGTATTTTTGGTTTTAATCCTCACCCGAGGATTTTTTCCCCCATCTATCTTCAGATAGAGTGGAAAGTAGGGAGGGAGGGAGGGAGCGAGGCAAAGAGAGAGAGAGAAACATTAAAATGAGAGACATTGACTTGTTGCCTCCCGTGTGACCCTGACCAAGGCTGGGGACCGAACCACAACCAAGGTACATGCCCTTGACCGGAATTGAACCCATGACTCTGGTTTGCAGGCCAACATTCCAGCTACTGTGTTGGTGTTGATCACACCAAGAATAATTCGCCTCAGCAGGGTTTGGTGCCTGCCAAGATCTCCCTGTCGATACACTGCTTGTGAAGCTTTGGATCCTGCTCTGTCGTTGTGTGAATCTGGCCCCTGGGTTTCTTGGTTGTGGGCCTCTTTGGAGGGGCTCTTGTGCAGGCCAATGTCAGATGCTGCCTGTGACTTGCCCTAGGCAGCCTGTCTGGATCTGTCAGTGACCCACAGCTTGTGGCTCCCTCTTCTGGGCCTGGGTACATTCAGAGAAGACCAAGCTATGCACCAAGGCTGGCTTTTACCAGCACCGGGTCTGGGGCAGGCCAGCAAAAGTCTCAAAGCACCCAGAGATCCACCTCCACCTGCAGGCTGCCTGTCAGGTTCAGTCACTGAAAGAGCCTTCGACTGCAGCCCCCTGCAGGGTGTAAGCTCCACAGGGTCAGGTGAGAGGGATTCCAACAGGTGGGGCTATTCCTTCCCCCCAGGCCGATGCCCCTTGGAAGGGAGTGCTCTGCTCGAGGAAGATAGTTCTGCAGTGTGGGGGAATGATCAGCACGGGATCCTGGCGGCTGGCCCTTCAGCTCTCTCCCCAGAGCCATCAGCCCAGACTCTTCTCGCTTGACTCTAGTCCTGTCTGCCCCCCACCCTCCCTCTGCCAGGCCCAGGATGAGTGGCTGTGAATGAAATTTTGTGTGTTGGCCCTTTAAGAGTCTGCCTGGTCTCTAGCCAGCTCTCCTTGGTGGACAGAGACCCCGCTGGAGGGAAAGGGCTGGTGCCCACAACCCAGGAGTGCACAGCCCTAAGCTGTGCCAGAGACCCCTCCTCACTCCTCCTCCTGGCTTCCCTATCCCTCCAGGCAGCCCCCCTACTCCCTTCTCCCACCCCCTGGTGAGTTCCCCCTTCCCAGCTCTCCCTCCCTTTCTCCAGGTTCCCACTCCCCTTCTCTCCTCCCTCCCCTCGCCCCTTCCCCTAGACCCTGGCTGAACCCCAGCTCAGTGGCAGCACCTGGTGATCTGTCTCCACATGTGAGCAGTTAGTGTCAGCTAACTGAGCCTATCAGCTGTCTTCCTTCTGCTGCCCATACCTCCCTGGGGCCTGCCCGCGCTGAGCCTGGATGGCAGAGAGAGGAAGGGAGACGACACGGGCAGCTGCTGGCAGGGGTAGCGGGGCTTCAGAGGAGGAAACAAGAAAACACCACATCAGCCTCCTCTGAGCAAAGTGCCTGTTGTGGGGCGAGTGAGTGCACCTGTGTGCTTGCATGTGCTCATGCGTGCATGTGTGTGCTTGTGTGTCCTTGGTGTGGAGGGGTGTGGTGTGCTGGGAAGCCCCGTCTGAACCCACCTATCTCCACAGCAGGGCTTCTAGCTGGCTGGATTGGGAGCAGAGGTGTCCCTGGGCCACCTGATCGGCTCACCTTCCCACAAGATCCACCGGTTCCGTCCCGGCCCACAGCCCAGGGATGTGAGCACCAGAGGTGCGGGCCTGGGTCCAGTCCTGGCTCTCAGGCACCCTCCAGGGGCAGTTCTCCAGGTCTCTGCGGGTGGCCTGGAGGGAGGGGACGCTGGGCTCTTTCTGAGGAGGGGCCCAGTTTCCTGGGGGTGTCAGACGATGACGTGCCAGATGCTTCCAGAGGCTTTGTCTCAGAAACAGGACTCAGAGTGGAGTCACCAGGACGCTCACAAGAACACTGGCTCGCAGGCCTCTTTCCCTTAGGCCATAAGTGTCAGTGGCAAATAGAATATCCAGACTCGCACCGGGCCCCAGAGGGTTCCTGAGGTTCATAGCAGCGGAGCGCATCCCTGGGACAGCCCCCTTGTCCTCACAGTGTCCCCCCCGAATCAGCCCTCAGATCCTGCTGCGGGCAATGTCAAAAGACGCCGAGTGAGCAGGTTACAGCAGAGCCCCCGCCCCCAGCCTGTACTTCTCTGTTCTGATGTTGTCAGTTTGTGTTTCTGTGCTGGGGCTTGGGTTTGCTTTTGGTGAGTTATTTGTGGTGACACGCGCCCGCGGATCTCTGCTCCTTCTAAGTCAAGGGCTGTACCATAGGGCCATGGAGGGAAGCATGTCCTCAGACTAGGAACGCCAGCGATGGCGGGAGCAGAGGGCCCGGCACCAAGGGCACGTGTGGGCTGAGTGACTCGATCCGCGTCCTCACCTGAACTAGGCTGACCTGGTTGACCTTGCGGGGTGCGTGTGGGTTAAGTGCGAGGTGAAGACTAAGCGTGGGGCACGTGATAAGCACGGAGGAAGCTTGGCCCTTGGTAGTGACGTGACCTTGACAGGCCTCCTCTTCCCACAGGGTCCACTAGGGCCTCCGAGAGAGACGCTCTTCCGAGGTGACCACTGGGGACTCGACTTATGGAAGCGCTGGCCCGTGCACACATCACTGCGTCACCGTCCTCCAGGGCCGCAGTGTCAGCGCCATCGTCTGTGGAGTCTCACCCTGCGGCCGGCCCCAGCGAAGCACCTTGTCCCAGTAAGTCGACCAGCTCATGTGTCCGTGGCTGGACATCGCACGCGTGTCCCCAGGCCGTGCGGGGAGTGGGGTGATGGCGGAAGGAAGGAGTGCAGGAGGGCTGGGTTCCCCGCACAGTGTTAGGGCCTGGCTCATACAGGGAGCCACAGCCCAGCCTGCACCCTGCTGAGAGCTCTGTGTGTGTGTGTGTGTGTACAGTCCGTGTCAGGAGCAGTCACCATCCTGAGTGACTTTCCTGTGGCTCACAGGGACAGAGGTCAGACCTGCCTTCCACTGCCTGGGAAGTTCTCTCTCTCTCTCTCTCTCACACACACACACACACACACACACACACACACACGCCCCAGACCCGGCTGTGACGCCAGTCCACTGTGGGCACTTCCTAGCCAGGTCACTCCGGGGCCTCTGCTCTGGTCTGTGACCTCCACAACCCGCCTGCCTGACCGGCTTCAATACCAGGACGTGGAGCCCAGGAGGGCGCTCGTGCCAGCTCTCGTTGCGGGTGGCCAGAGCCCTCCGTGAGCTCTGGCTCGTCACCCTTTCTGGCAGGGTCCCTGGCCTTTCTCCTAGAGGACACAGCTGATCCAGTCAGGTTAGGAATTCAGGAAAGATTTTAATATTCCAGTTCCTGTCTTATTAATGCCATCTGGTTTACTCAGAGTTGTCCAGAGAAACAGAACCAATAGTGTGTGTGTGGATATGTCTGTAAAGAATTTATTATAAAGGCTTGGCCCACATGATGCGGAAGATGAGCAGTCCCTAGACATGCAGTTGGCCAATGAGAAACTCAGGAAAACCAATAGTTTAAGTTCTAGCCTGAAATCTGGCAGGCCCCGGGCCCAAGAAGAGCTGATTCAGTTTGAGTCCAAAGGCAGGAAAAAAACCAAAAACCGGCAGGAGGGTCTCCCTGTCACAGGTGGGAGGGTCAGCCTTCTGTTCTCTTCAGGGCTTCAGCTGCTTAGCGATGCCCACCAGCACTAGGGAGGGCGGTCTCTGTACTCACCCCACTGACTCACATGCTGATCTCATCCAGAAACTTCTCACACACACACACCCAGAACGTTTTACCAAACGAGGGGCACCCCTTGCCCCAGAGAAATTAACACATAATTTGGCACATGAAATTAACCACAATACCATCTACTACAACTTCCACAATTATGTCACCTCTTCTTGCATGTTTTGTTTTTTTTGTTTGTTTTTTTAATCCTCACACGAGGATATTTTTCCATTTATCTTCAGACAGAGTGGGAGGGGGAGAGGGAGAGAGACAGAGAGAAACAACGATGTGAGAGAGACATATCGACGGGTTGTCTTTCGCACGACCCCAACCAGGGCCAGGGATTCAACCACAGCTGAGGTACGTGCCCTTGACCAGAACTGAACCTAAGACTCCTTGGTCCGCGTGCCCACATTCTTTTTTTTTTTATCCTCACCCAAGGGCATTTTTCCATTTTTTGTTCAGATAGAATGGGAGGGAGAGAAAGAGAAACATCGACGTGAAAGGGACACATCGAGTGGCTGCCACCCGCACAACCAACCAGGGCCGGGGACAAACCATAGCCGAGATATGTGACCTTAGCAGGAACTGAACCTAGGTCTCTCTGGACCGCAGGCCAACACTCTAACCGCTGAACCAAACCGGCCAGGGCTGTGGGCCGACATTCTAACTGCTAAGCCAGACCAGCCAGGGCAGTTTGGGGTTATTTTATTGTTTACTGTTATTATAGATATTCCCCAATTTTCCCCACTTAGTTCCCCACCTCCTAGTTCCTGCTCACCATACCCCAGGCCTTCATCACACTATTGTCTGTGTTCAGTGGCCATGCACATATGTGTATGAGTTCTTTGGTTAATCTCTTCCCATCTCCTAAGCCCTCCCATTTGAGGTATGTCAGTCTGTTCCACGATCCATACCTCTGGACCTATTTTGTTCATCAGCTTATTGTGTTCATTAGATTCTACATATAACTGAGATCATGTGATAATTGTCTTTCTCTGACTGGCTTATTTCAACCAGCATAACCTTCTCCAGGTCCATCCATGCTGTTGCAAAGGGTAAGAAATCCATCTTTTCCGCAGCTGCATAATATTCCATTGTGTAAGTGTACCACAGCTTTTTAATATACTCATCTACTGGTGGGCATTTGGCCTGTTTCCAGATTTTAGCTATTGTAAATAATGCTGCTGTGAACATGGGGGTGCATATATGCTTTCTGATTGGTGTTTTGGGCTTCTTAGGATATATTCCTAGAAGTCTACAAGAGACCCAACTTAGAACAAGATTGACACATACTGAAAGTGAAGGTATGGGAAAAAGTATTCTATGCAAATGGAAGTGAAAAGAAAAAGCTAGAGTAGCAATACTTATATCTGACAAAATAGACTTCAAGACAAAGGCCACAACAAGAGACAAAGAAGGTTGCTACATGATACTAAAGGAATCAATTCGATAAGAACACATAACCCTTGTTAGCATATATGCACCCAATATAAGAGCACCTAAATATATTTTCAAAAGCTCTTGATGGACTGTGAGGGAGAGAGAAGCAGCAATACAGTCATAGTAGGGGACTTTAACACCAACTGACATCACTGGATGGATCTTCCAGACAAAAATTTAACAAGGAAACAGTAGCGTTAAATGACACACTACATCAGTTGGATCTAATCAATATTTGAAGAACATTTCATCCAACAGTGACAGAATTTATATTCTTTTGTTGCAGTTTTTATACAATTCTGAGCTCTAGGTACAAAGAACACAGGCAGGAAAGGAAAAAAGCCAAAACAATATGAATACCAAGCAGGGCTTGAGAGTTCCTTTCATGACGAGGGAACTTTTCTTCCGGCTCTCCCTTCCAGATCAATGTTGCTGGCTCCCAGGAGAGGCAGGGTCTGCCGTCCCCCCCACCCCCCGCGAATGACAGAAATACGGCTGCTTCCCAGCCACACCCGCTCCCCCAGCTCAGCATGCGCTCCCCCGACCGGCTTCCTAACTGCTCCAATTCCAATGGGCAGTGTCTTCCCTGCTTTCAACACCTTTGGGTACCTCTCCCAGCCCAGCCTCCCTAGCAGCTACTGTACCCATTACCCACAGCACAAAACGTTCCACTGGTGTCAAGATTTCTAAAACATAGATTCAAAACACTTTAATACTCTCTGAGGAAGCAGTACAGTGTATCACAGAAAAAGCTGTAACATTAATATTGCTGATATTATCCAGACCGGGGGCCGAATAGGAACCCAACTGCAGCCAGTTATTCTGCATGGCGGCTGCCGGAGGGGATCTGCAGCCCGTCCATCCACTGGTCCCTCTCAAGAAAGGAAGCTGCTGAATTTCCCGTGTTTGCCTCATGCCCTGTTACATAACCTGGAAGAGTCATTGAACTTGAAAGCGATCTTTTCCAAGAAACAGCCTTCCCCTGAAATAGCACTGACCACTTCTACAGCAATAACAGGACCTGCATAGAGTGTGGTTTCCTTCTTTTCCCCACCCCCGAGCCCTGAGCGTGGAGCTGAATCTGAGCCCGGGAGCCAGCTGGACAGAGGGAGACTCCGTGAGTTGTTACGTGTTCAAGCTTCGCAAAGACAGATCCCAGCAAGGAACTCCCTTCCCCCATAGAGACAGGGGACAAGTGTGGAGTGGTCATGACCCTCCCAGGCCTCCCTGCCAGGGAACTCCCTCCAGGGTCTGCTGCGGGTGCAGCTGGGAGATCAGGGGCTTGAACGTGCCAGGTTCACCCTCGTTCCTGTCTGAAGGTTAATGTTGTGGGCGATCAAAGCAAGCTGAGAAGGGAAGACGAAAGGCAGGAAGGTGGAAACCTTCCACACCAGTGCAAGGCGAGTTTACCTTTGGCAAATGAGAGTGTGTTCATATTTCCACAAGAACATGTCCATTTCACCAGCTTATGACTCCAACTGGGCTGGGCAAACACGCTGGGATATGGTCACAGCTGTCATTCAGAGGGAAGCTCAGAAATGGGGAACAGAAACCAACCATGGGGATCCCTTGTGGCCCACCCTTGGCTTTGGGAGGCAGAGCGGCTTCGGGCTGTGGCTGGCTCCCTCGGAAGCCCTGTGTGGCTTTCTGCTGCCTTGCTCTGCGTGGGGCTCCACCGTGAGAGACACAGGGACCAGTGCCAGACCCACCAGACCTGGTGCGAACCACGGAGCCACCCTGCACATCTCCGGACTGGTCTCCTGATCTAGAAAATGTTCATGGGGTGGGCAAGGATGACAGGTGCCAGGCTTACAGCCCAGGGGCTGGGACGGGTTTGCCCTCCACAGTGATAGCTTGTGTTATTCCAGAGACTGTCTTTCTGAATTGTTTGCTTGGTGATTGAAACGTTGTTTCTCTTTAATAAAATCTTGATTATAAAAATGCCTGAAGGTGCCTCTATCTTCTTTATTCAGCAAAACAGGGTGTGTGGTGAAGACAATATTTAGATAGTCAGCAGAGGCGTCATGCTGACATTCATTGCCACGTTTCTTCCTCCCCCTTTCAACTTTCCTCCAATGTAAGAAAGGTTAGTTTAGGTAAAAGGAGAGTCATGAGACTCTAACAACATCCATAGCTCCCCTATCACAGAACTGAAGAGTAAGATGAACATGGGCTGGATTTGAACTTTGGTCAGACTCAGTAGAATCGAAGCTGGGACAGAAAAGAGAGGGTGACCCCTCCCTGGGGCTTCCCGGAGCTGCAGATCAGTAGGGGACCTGGAGGGACTGCAGGGAGGGTCACCTGTGGACCTGCTGCCCCGCGGGAGGAGCAGAGGTCCATAACCCTGGGGGACCCTCAGGCTCAGCGAGGTCACTCTCATGAGCCCTGAGGGGACTGACCCCGGGATCCCTCACGAGGAGGAATTGAGGCCACCAGGCCTGGAAGTTCAGAGACCACAGGGAGCCTCATTCCCCAAAGAAGCAGAGGCGGGTCCTGTAGGCCCTGAACAGGGGCAGAATGTTTGCCGATTGGGACAGAAACGAGCAGCGTTTCTGAATGAGGGGGGGACAGTGATGTCGCTCTGATAAATGTCCTTGCAGCCGAACTAGACTGACGTGATCGCTTCATTTTGATCCAAAACCCTCAGCGCCAGCTCTGTCCATGTGCAGCTCTGACCCCAACATGCACATAATTGCCCGGCTGCCAAGGTGGATGGAGCGTGCAGGTTCGGGTGAGATGCCCCCTCCCCTGGAATGATGGGCTTTCTCAAGGGAGCCGGGGGCCAGGTGGGAGGTCCCCGCAAGGTGCAGCATCAGCAACGCTCCTTCCCGCCCTCAGCTGCCTGGGTGCTGGGCCCACACGCCCACCGCCCACCCCCGTTAGACGGAGCCCGTTCCACAGAGCCCAGGCCTTCCTCCTGGCACCGTGCCCCTTTCAACAAGGTTCCTCTCAGGCAGAATATAGTGGAGACAGGCCCTGGACACGAGGGCTATCGGCCTTGGGCCATGAATGTGGCTTGTTTGGGGGGAGTCTTTGTCTTTCCCACTATGAAATGGGATAATAATACCAGTCTCATTCAAGCGTTCATTCATCTAATATGTAGTAAGCTCCTGCCACAGGTCAACATTATTCTAGGTACTTGTGTGATGGAAATAAAAACACACAAAACCTGATGAGGCCCCATCCCCACCCTCACAGGTCTAATGGGCTTGAGAGACAGAAGTAAACGAGATGATTTAATGGACGCTGACTTGTCAGGGGTGGTGACGGCCAAAGGTATTGTCTCGGGGTAACTGCACGTGCCTGTGGGAAACTGAGGGTCCCAACTGGCTTTCTGGGTCCAGAGACACCCGCGGGCGGGAGGAAGACTTGTGACTGCTGGAGGTGCTGTTCTGGAGGCTGGGCCAGCAGCAGAACCTGGTTTCAGTTCAAATGGAGGGTAATGTGAGCGTCTGTAAGGAGGCTGAGTTTCCAAAAGAGCAAGAGTTTCAGGTCTGAACTCCGCTCTCTCCTCAAAGCTGGGAACCTGGACCGTTCCCAGGGAGCTGTGGGGAGGGCTGTGGTGAGTGTCCGTGTACAGGTATGGAGGTGACATGGGCGAGCAGGGTGAGAGGTCAACAGCCCAGAGGCTGCGGGAGGCTCTGATTGGAGGAAGGGGCGCTGATCATGGAATTCCGAGGGGCGACCTCACTTCCTCGGTGACAGACCCTAACAGAAGCTTGAACTCTGGTAACCAGGGACCCCTCGCCAGGTCAGTTGACTGCAAACGGTCAAGAGGACAGGATGTATCGTTGCTGTTTCCCGACTCCCCGAAGCCCTGGGCTGAGGAAAGCCCAGAGTGAGGGGTGTTTCGGTCGCTGTAGACATTGGCGCAAACCTCGCCGTGGACGATTCTGGCCATTTGGCACGAGGCGCCCTCAGGTAACAGGGCAGCCCAGGGCCGGCTAATCCAGGCCAGACCCCAACTGTGACCCTACCTGGGCAGCCCCACACCCCACTCCCCTCATCCTGGTGAGTGTGTGGCGGGTGGAGAAGAAAAGTGTGGGATGAGGGGCACTCGTCCTGGGCAGGAGCAGGTCGTTAGGTGTCTGAAGTCGGGAGGGTCTGTCATGTTCATTGCCCAGGTCACGGCTGGCAGGAAGGGAGGGTGAGTGCTGGGACCAAGTCCAACGACCCACTTGCTACTCAGGAGTCCTCACGGTGTCATCGTGTTCCCTCCCTGCCTGGAGGTCTATGCAGAAGCCCCTGTGTGCCCGATCCGGGGGGCAGAATTTGTGGTGGGCATCTCTCCCGTGAGAATGGCCAGGCAGGCCCCTGACGCCTCCTGGCCGGGACCCGGGCTGTGTCTTTGCAGAGGCCCGCCCCAGAGAGCGTGGAGGAGCCGACGGATGGGTTCACTAATGCCATCAACTGCTACAAGGGACAAGGGTACCAGGCCAGGATCACCGTCCAGTGCCGGTCTGAGGTGAGAGCTGGCTCAGAGGGTTCTCCACACCCATGAGCTTGACACAACTGGGGTGGCCCAGAACCCAGACCTAAATCTGGGGCCTCCCCCGGGGGCCTCCAAGGCTTTCCCCCTGGAGTGTGCACAGCCCAGCGCACAGAGGGACCTGGACCTCCAATACCCCGCCAGCCCTCTGGGAGGGTCGGGAGCCGCCCCACACTGGTAGGAAGCGCAGAGGGAGCCCGTGTTTCTCTGCCCCGAGACCACGAGCACGGTCCTGTTCGCTGTTTTCTTGTTGAACTGCCCGCCCCAGGTGTCCCTGCAGACCTGCTCCAAGTCTCCACATCAGCACACGTGTCACATGGTCTGTACACAGAAGGGGGAGGACGGGGTTAAGCTATTCTGTCCGTTTCTCTGCTAGTTGTCATCGCAGACACCTCGGGCCCTGCCCCGTCAGGAGCTGTGGCTTCACTCGTGTCCATAATATCCCATAAGGCAGGGGTCGGCCACAGCGATGCCCTTGCAGTGCCGCTGGACCTTGACTGTGGTGCAGTCCAGGGGCCGTGTCAGCAGTGCGGCCGGGAGCACTGAGCGCCTGTGGGAGTTTGCTCGGGCTGCCGTGACGGGGGCCCGCACTGGCTGTGTGAACACAGAGGGTAGAAGGGGGAGGGGAGGGTGTCAGCAGGCTCCTTCCTCCCGAGGGCTGTCTCCTCGGCTCGTGGCTGGCGGCCGTCTTCTCTCTGTGTCACATGGACTCCCCTCTGCACGTCCATGTGTCCTCCTTTGCTCCTCAAAGGACACCAGTCCTATTGGGGGACCCACCACACGGAACTCACTTAAACTTAACTACTTCCTTAAAGACCATGAGCCCAAATACAGGCCTGTTCTGAAGTTCTGAGGGTTACCAAGTCATGCAATTCGGGTGACACAATTCAGCCTCCGACATATGCTGTCCCCAGGTGGGGATACCTGTTCAGGGAAAAGACTGTTCTTGGCAGGACGTGCACATGTCTGTCCTCACAGCTGCAGGCGGATCCACATCCAGAGGCTGTGGCAGTGAGGTCGCCAACAGCAGTCTCTGGTGGTGGCGATTGCCTCTGGGGTACCTGGACTGACTGTCAGCTTTTCACCAGCCACGTGGATTTGCTTTTTCCCGTTTCACCTGCTCAGATTTCTGCCTGGTGGATGGCTTTCTCCAGCCTGGAATCTCCAGGCATCAGCGTGGAATCTAGGATCTCTATAATGAGAGTCTCAAAATGCACTGTGATGTAAAAGGAGGAGAAATAAGTGTCTTTTTTGAAGTTAATATTTTTCATAGGCCATGTCTACCATGTATAGTCTCCAAACTGGGCAGTGACAAGGTTCCCAGACAAGGTCCATGTCGGGAGAGATGAGTCTCAGGTAGCCGAGAGGGAGCATCATGCAGGACAATTCTCAGTTCTGACCTGTATGACCTTGAGCAGCCATTTGACATCCTAAGCCTCTGGGTTCATATCTCCATAGTGGGGATGTCTGCTGAGGACTCATGGGGACAATGTCCTTCACACAAACTATTAATACAGGAGGTCTGATGTCCCTCACCTAAAAACACATCTTGGTTACAATTATATAAACATCCCCCACTCACCAAACTTCAATGTTTTTTTAAAACCTAGAACCTCACTGGGCATGGGCACCCCTGTCCCTCTTCTCGCACATGTCCTGAGGGCTGGCAGTTCCAGGGTGAGCTCCAGACCTCCATCCTCCTGGGTTCATGGTGATGTCGCTGACCTGATGTCCCTCCTTGTCCCACCCAGTGTGCTGCTGAGTTAACTCTTAACCTCCGTGAGGCCTGCAGGATGCGTGCCCTCCAGGAAGGCACACTGGAGAAGATGGTGGCGTCCATGGTACCAGCTTTCCCACGTGGAAAAATTCCCCACATCTCCACCTTCATGTCCATCCACCCGGCCTTCTCCAGAGCCCAGCTGTTCCTGGACCAGCTGTTAACTAGGTGAGCACACGCCCCCTGGTGGTAAATTCATCCACTGCTAGCCCTGTGTCCTGAAAATGTCACCACATCTCTCTGAGCCTTGGTTTGCTCCTCTGAAAAGTGGGTGATAGAGGATAAACCTCATGGGGTTCTTGCAGGGACTATTGTGGGGACAAGCCATGACAGGTCTGACCTGCTCCCTGGCTCTGCAGAAAGGGCTGCTGGGCGTGTGTGGCCGTTCTCGGCAATGACTTCTCTCTCCCCGTGAGAAGTGCCCTGACTCACCCATCGGCGGCCTGTGGCATCTGAGTTTGGAAAAGCACATGGGAAAATGACTGTCAAGCAGTTTGAGATTCCACCTGGCTGGTCCTTGTCCTGGTCCTTAGTGTGACCAGATTAGGGATGTCTGGGGATGCAGGGGCCCCAGGCCCACTCAAACCTTTGGATAGTTCTGGTTGGAGTTCATTGACTGGACAATGTGCATTGAGCTCCTACTGCCAGCAGGCACTTTGGAGACACTTAGCCTGACTCAGGGAATGAAGCAGACACGGTGTCCGGGACTCAGTTCTAGTCAGCGTGTCAGACTGTGACACTAGATGTCATTCGCAGGTGCTGCCCACCATCCATCTCACCTAATGCCATCCAGGTGTTCTCTACATCTGGAAATATGCAGCCATATAACGACCAGGGTGACACACCCCAGGACCAATTGAAAAAGTGAGTGGTCTTTGGGTCCAGAAGGAGGCCTCCTGTGTCAACAGGATGAGGGGCTGCGGGTGGACAGGGGCTGGCAGAACCCTGATCTTACACGTCTGCTGATTCCTAAGGGAGGGCTGAGGTCTGGTGGCTTCCACTCCAGGAGGACAGGGTCAGAGAGCACTGTGGGTGGGCTCCCTGGCCTCTTATAACCAGAGGGGAGGCTGGGCTGAGCTGTCCCCAGGAGTCCCATCCCCACCACAGACCATCCTGCTCTGCCTGCATTCTCTGCACCCACTCCCCTGACCACCATCGCCAGGCCCAGAACAGGACGTGGGGAGCAGGCTGCTCACACCCTGTCTCAGTCCTCAGTCCAGGTGCCCAGTGCTCAGAGGGCTGGGTGGGCAGTGCACAGGCCTCCAGGACAGCTCTCGGGGGAAGAGGAGACTCACACAGACTCCATGTTAGCCTGCTGGGTCACCAGGCCTGCGACTCCCAGGACCGCTCCATGGGCCGTGGATGGCATGGGGCTGACCCCTGGATGGGCCGGGCAGGCATACGGGCCCCGTCTGAAGCAGGGTGCCATGGGAGGGCCGTGCGGGAGGAAAGACCAGGACTCTGACCCCGCTGCCCTCCTGCCTCCCCCAGGGCCGTAGCTTCTGTGATGGGAGCCTGGCCGGACCAGATACAATATGTCGGCCAGCCCCTGCTTCTCCCCTGGTTCACCCTGAAGCAGGCCCTCGTGCAGGGCCACCTCCCTGCCTCACACCCGCTGGGCCACGTGCTCAGTCTCTGGGTGGAGCTGGAGCATCTGGAGCCCACGGAGGCAGAGCTGGAAGGTGAGGGGCCTGCAGTCTGGGAGACGGGCGGGGTGGGTGGGCTCAGGGGCCGCAGTTCCCCTGGGGGTAGTGGCATCTTTCCGCGTCTGGGAGGGCACGGGAAAGTCAGGCCTGTGTGTGAACTGTCTCTTCAGCTGCTCCAGAGGCTCCCCCAGAGCCCCAGCGCGCTCCAGAGCCCGAGGAGGGGCCTGCCCAGGGGCCCGTGCCCGGTCCCGCTGTGCCAGTGCTAGAGCCAGTGTCACCTCCCTCAGCCCCTGGGGGCCTGGGGCCAGCACCCGCCTCACCCTCCACCCCAGGGCCGGCTCTCCAGCAGGAGCCTCCTGCACCACCAGCTCTGATCCGAATGCCAACAGCAGAGCCAGCTCCATGCCCAGCAGCGGACCACCCCCCGGCTGGGACCACTAAGCACCTGATAAAGGAGGAGAAGCGTAACATCCTGAGCTTCCCTCCAAGACTGGTGGCAGAGCAGCTGACAGTGATGGACGCGGTGAGCAGCGGGGCTCTCGGGGAGAGTGGGGGGCAGCCCTGCCCTCAGCTGCCCCGACCTGCCTTTTCTGATCTGAACTCTCGTGATCTGGATCCAAATTGCAGCTCCCCCACCGACCACCTGTGGGTCCTGGGCAACTTTCTCAATCCCCAAGCCTCGCTGCCCACCTGTGGACAGTGGGGGTGGACACGCACAGCACCCGCTGCTCAGAGTGGCTGCAGATTCCATGAGGCAGATCAGACAGAAAGCTGGGCGGGTCCTGGCCCGGTAGGTGGGAGGGGAGCTCACTGTGTGCAGCCAGGGCCCTGGGGCTCCCATCCATGTGCCCATGAGGCTCAGCGGCCTCCACACTGATTAGGCACCTGATGTGTACTTTCCTACAAGGGAGACAAACATAGAGCCCAGGGCTGTAGCTGCCACAGGGCATGTGCCCTGAATGGGGATTTGAACCGGAGGGGTAATCAGGATGCCGGAAGATGCCCTCTTGGGGTGAGTGGACTTGAGCCGCATCCTGGAATTTGGAGTCAGTGAGGATGGGCTGGAGGCAGATGCTCCTGTCCCTTCCCACCTGTCCTGGGCTCTGGCTCATCCAGTGCTGGGTCCCTTGGTGGACAGAGAATGAATCCCAGGGACTCCAAGGCTCAGGCCACATCCTCAGCTTCCTGAGCTTCAGTCTTTCCCAGTGACCCCTGCAGGGGGTTGGGGACACTGAGCTTGGTGTGGCAGGGTTGGGTGACCCTCCCCTTTCTCCCCAGGAGCTATTCAAGAAGGTGCTGCCCCACCAGTGCCTGGACTTTGTCTGGTCCCAGAGGGACAAGCCTGGCAATGAACACCTGGCCTCCACTGTCCGTGCCACCGTCACACAGTTCAATCATGTGGCCACCTGTGTGATCACCACCTACCTTGGGGACCCTAGCATGAGGGCCCGGGACAGGGCCAAAGTGGTGGAGCACTGGATCAAGGTGGCCAAGGTATGTTATGGGAGGCCCAGCGCAGTCCCTATGCGGAGCCTTGAGAAATGCCTCTGCTGCTCTGTCAGCTCTCGGGACTGAGGCCTGAGGCCGGAGCCCAGCACAGTTCCCAGGTCCTCTCTGCCAGGGGCCCGCTGACCTTGACTCTCAGGTGGTGGGAGGCTCACTTCCTCCCTGGCTCCTTCCTTGGGTTGAGCTAGGATCCTCCTCTCTGTGAGTGCTGGTCTTTGGGTGCTCACCATGCCCACCCTGAGCACCTGTCCCACCCAGGATGGGTGTCAATGGAGGGGACTGAGCTAGAGCTCCAGCTGCCACCTCACAGCCGTCGCTCCCCTCCCAGGAGTGCAGAGCCCTACGGAGCTTTTCCGCCCTGCACGCCATCCTGTCCGCTCTGCAGAGCGTGTCCGTCCACCGTCTGAAGAAGACGTGGGGGAAAGTTTCCAGGTGGGTAGGCCTCTCCCCAGAAGAGGATGGGTGGGGTGTCTCTCATATGCCTCCTAATGTCCCCTCAGGAGCTGGCACCTCCTGGGAGGCAGCCACCCCTGGGGACAGGGACAGGGCTGCTGGGCGGGGTCTCTAAGCCTCCCTGGGACCTCAGGCCGCCAGTTCTGCTTCAGGAATCAGTTCCCCTAAGTGCCAGAGACTGGATTGAGCCCCATTGGAGATTTTTACGTGTTTATAACACTAGAACCCCGGGCCCAGTTAAAACCGAAACTGGTCAAAACAGAGCTGCCCCATAGAAATGGGAATGGGGCCCAGGTGACCCACAGGAGAGCCCCGCCCAGGCCACGGAGACCTTCCTGCTGGGAGGAACCCAGTGAAACCCTCACCCCAGCGCCTTGAAACACTGGACTGTCAATAGATTTTTGCCTTTAACAACCCCCCTCCCCCCGCTCATTCTTTGTAAACATGTCTCCCTCCTGCCCCGGCTCAGGAGGAGCTCGGCCACACTGAACACGCTGTGTAAGGAAGACAACTCCAGGGCCCGCGCGCAGCTCAGCGAGGTAGAGCGGAGGCTGGAGGTCTGGAGGGGGCCCTGGGCTGGATGTGGCTTCGATAGTTTGTCACTTAAAGATTCTCTGCAATGTTTGCCCTCTGTCCTGAGTAACAGGGAGAGGGCTCTGTTTGGCCCTTGGCAGGGGCAGCTCCAGGGCAGGACGTCCGGGCCTGGCCCACAGTGATGCTGGCTGGGCGGCTCCGGGACGGGTGCAGGGCTGGCACACTGAGCGGGTCTCTGGCTTCCATGCGGGCCCATCCCACTGGCACTTAGCTTCTTCCAGGCTGTTGGGTGAATGGGGTAGGTGGGCACCTTTCTTCCCAAACCAGCCCCGCCTGGCCTTGGAAGCCAGGCCCCTGTTGCTCCTCTGTCTTCACCACACCTCCAAGGGAAGCGCACCCTGCCTGCCCCAGGGATGGGCACTGCAGGGGACTCCCATGGGCCAGGGAACAAAGGGCTGCTTGGCCTCAGGTCCCACTTGCTGGACTGGAGACAGAGAGGTGAGGTGTGCCTTCTGTGACTTCCCACTGTGCCCCTGTGACTTCCCACTGTGCCTCTGTGACTTCCCACTGTGCCCCTGTGACTTCCCACTGTGCCCCTGTGACTTCCCACTGTGCCCCTGTGACTTCCCACTGTGCCCTGGAGCACTCGCTGCCAGTCAGTCAGTCAGTCAGTCAGTCAGTCAGAAAGGGGCAGGGGCAGGCCCCAGGCCCAGGGGCACACACCCAGAGGGCATTGCAGCGGGGAACGACCCAGAATCAAGCTTGCTGGAGTCAGAGTGGCACTGGTACCAACTGACTTGGGCCAGCTGTCCAGGGTCAGAGGTCAGGGGTGGTGGGGGAAACGGGGTGAGGAGGCATGGCCTCATGACCCTGTCCCGGACCCTGGCAGAAGCGGCCCTCCAGGTTTGCCACTCTGCTGCGGACCCTCCGGGGAACTCGGAAGAGGCCGCGCAAGAAGGTGAGTGAGCCTGTCTGGGCTCCAGGGTCAGAGGAGAGGGGCTCGGCCCTCCCGGCTGGAGGCCTCCAGGTCAGGAGAGGGAGGCCTCCCTCCTCCATCCACCTCCTGTTCCCACAGAGCCTGCAACCCTCCATTAGCAGGGACCTAGGGGGGGCCTAGAAGAGTTGGGTGCACCATGCCTGTGGGGGAGGGGCTGGGCTGGGGACCACAGGCCCTGTGATTGGCCAGCAGTAGGCCCTGGAGGTGATGAGGAGGAGTTCCTGGACAGTGATGGAAGGGGCCATTGAGGGGAGGCTCTAAGGGTCCCGGGCTGCTCCATGTGGGGTCCCTGGGGTGGGACAGGAGGTGAGGGTGGGAAGCTTTCAGGGGATGGTCTGTGGGGCCAGCTGAGAACAGGGGCTCATCCCACCCTCACCCTGATTGCCTAGTGTGTTCCCTTCCTTGGAAAATTTCTAACTGAACTGGAGAAGCTGGACACTACGTTGGAGGATTACCTGGAGGTAAGTGACCTGGGACCTGGGTTGGGTAACCACGATTGACATTTGGGGAGAGAGAAGCCCTGTACTGAGCCCCTAGTTCTCAGCACAGCTCCCCCATGGAGATGGGCCTCATGCCCTTTCTAGGGACCCATGTGCCCCTCCTCTGGAGCCCAGAGCTTGGCCTCTCCCCAAGTCCTGTCTGTTTGTGTTTCCCGCCCCCTCCTGGGACCTGGTGGTACTGCATCATGAGAAGGGGTGGGCATAGGGGCTTGTCAGGGCCAGGGGCTCTTCCTGATGGACTGGGGCTGTCTGCCTTCCAGGGGAATCAGATCAACCTGGAGAAAAAGGAGAAGGTGAGCAGCTGGGGCACCTCCTGCGGGCAGGGGAGGGCAGTGAACATCAGAGGGCCCTCCCAGCACACTCCTGGGCTCCACCCCGCATCTTACACTCACTGGGAGAGTTTGATGACAGCAGAGGGAGACCCTCCAGGTGGTGGCTGGGTAGGGGGGTGGCATCAAGGAGCACTGCCTGGAGGAAGGGCTGGCGAAGCCCATCTCTGAGCACAGGTAGGGCCTCATGGAATTAGGGGGAAGGGCGGTGCCCATGTGTGCAAAGACCCAGGACCTGTCCCCACGCCACTCCTCACCCCGCTCGGCCGTGTCTGCACCCTCTCCTTCCCTCTGGCCCCAGGAACAGAGAGTCATGGAGAAGATAGTGCTGCTGCAGGAAGCTGCCAACCAGTATCAAATAGAGCCCGAGGAGAAATTCAGGGCCTGGTTCTGGGCCCTGGAGCGGCTCAGCGAGAAGGAGAGGTGAGGCCGGGCAGGAGCCGGGTGAGGGCAGAGGTGGACTCCTCTGCGGGCCAGGCCAGAGAACCTGTGTCCATGGCTCCCAGGTCAGCCCCCGCCCTTGTTGTGTAGCAACCCCTGGGGCACCTGACCCTGGGAGAGACACCTGAGAGATGGCTCCTGGGAGCTCACAGGTGCCCCTCTGTCCTGTAGTTACATCCTGTCCTGCCAGCTGGAGCCCCGGTCCTAGTTGACCTGTAGAACACTCCAGGCCAAGAACTGCTTTGAAGGATCTGAAGTTTATTCTGAGACAAAAGCAACTCATTGAATGATTGACAGCAGAGGAGGAATGATTCTTAAAATGATCTCACTTTCATCTCACTTTCATGAATTTGCCCTTATGGAGAACATATTTGGATACAAAAATTTCCTGTTATGGAAACTCTTAGGTTTTAGGTAAACTTTTATTAAATAAGGACAATACAAACTATTTTTCTATGAATAGAACACACACACACACACACACACACAGTTTGTATCTTGAGACCAATTTCTTCGATTTTACAATAAGGAAATTAGCCTAGATTCTATTTTCCTTTTGCAAAATAAAAGTAGATATTTTAATATGAAATAATTCATGGTTATAGGTACAAAAAAGAAAGGTTTATGTAATAAGTGATCATACACATATTAAATTGGCAATAATAATACATATATATCTTTTCAGATATGCTAGTGACAGGTGTAAATATACACTTATCCATATTTGTAATCATTTTATGTTTTATTTCTATTTGATAATATATTGTACTTCAAATATTAAAATATTTCTGAAAAATAATATCTTCCAGTACCTTTTCTCCTGTTATGACATATATAATTTAGCTCTAATTAATAGATTTAAAATCATTTTGTTTTCTACTTTTTGAATAATTCTGTGATGATCATTATTGTATAATACCTCTGCACATTTATTTTTTAATTATTTTCCAAAAATGAAATTTCTGTTTCCAAAAATACGCACATTCTAAATTTTAGTATCTATGAATTTGGAATAATTTGATCAAGTTCCCTTGGAATTTTGATTGGGATCTCATCAAATTTGTAGATTGGGTTCAGAGGAATTCTCTCAGTAGCTTCTCTAACAGGTATGTATTGAGCACCTCCTAGAGGCCAGGTTCTCCAAGCGCAGTGGTCAACCCCAAGAGTTGGTAACCAGGGCAGACTTGCAGGAAAGAGTCAAAGCAGCCAGCACATACATAGCATGAAGCCGGGACTTGCTGGGTGCTCTGAACAAACGGTAAAGCAGACAGAGAGACAAAAGGTCACAAGGTAATGTTGTAGATAGAATGATGTGAAGGTTTGTGGGATCGAGGTGATAGTTGAGGCTGCTTTGGGACTATGCACAGATGACCAGCAAAAATATCAACATCCCAGCTGAGCCCCCATTCTGGCCTGTGACTCGGAAGTGTTCCCGGTGGCTCCTGATCTGAGAAAGTGTAGCCAGCCTCATTCTTTACAGAAATGAGGACAAAGGACCCAGCCTCTGGCCTCTCTGGACCCCTTACCATGAAATAATCTTTAATTGGGGTGCATATTCTTACTTTACTCTGTTGTTCTATTATATCCTCTTCCTGTAACGAACTGTAGGCAGCAAGTATTTCTGTTTCACTGACCCTTAGTTATCCAAGTGCAGTGCACATGGTGTTAATTCCATGTTCAAAATGGGCGTCCTGACCTGCAGCAGAGCCACCCACCTGTCCTCCCAGTATGTGGTCCAGCCCACCACATGGGGTCTCTTCCAGGCACCATCGACATCGCCCAGGAAACTACAACTGCTGGTGCTTCCCTTGAGATGTGGGGCATTTGCGTTGACTCTCCTATAAGCACATCCCAGTCCCCAGCTCACTGTAAGAACTTGGCACTTCTATTTCCATCATGGTGCTCGTGCAGTGCATGGAGGATAAGAGGTCAAGGGGCTTAGAATCTGTAGGAAGGTCATTGTATGGTACTGAAGCAAGAACTATGACAAAGATAGCGCGAATGGGGTGCCGGTGATGCAAGTACTGAAATCAAAGAACGAGAGACCTCGGGGTTCGTGGATGACCGCAGCAAGCAGGGCTGGTACAGTGTAGAACAAAAGATTCAAAACATTGGCAAGAAGAGATGGAGAATGGACTTAGGCAGCGAGGAGGAACCTACCTCCAGGCTCTGGGGCAGGAGGGCATGTGGGTGTGGGAGTCACGGTTCAGCAGAAGAACTGCAGGTGCTATGACTGGAGGGCCGTGCAATGGTTCCTGGGTGGCTGAGAGCCAAAGTGGTCCAGGCTTCGACTGGCACCAGGGTCCCTGATGGAGGTACCATGCATTGGTTCAGTGATATGGCCCAGGGCTGGTCTTAGACTTGGAATCTAACACATGCTCAGTCAGTGTCTGTGGAATGGTAGGGAACGTATGGTCCTCTGGCCCCGAAACTTGGATGAGGCAATTTCTCAGGACACTGTCCTTCCCAGAGTATCCTGGGGCCAAGCCAGGTGTCTGAATATTGTGCAGTCTGCACTCTGTCCAAGTGGGTAGGAGGAGGCCAGCTCTGAAGTGGGGGTCCATGTGGCAGACTGGAGGCAGGAGAGGAAAGCACATTACAAGCTACAGCTAGGGACAAGGCTGAAAGGGGCAAAACAGGTGGGGTGGGAGGGGGACATAGGGTTTAAAATGGGGTTTAATACAAGGTCATTGAGGACAGTCTTTATACATTGCACCTGTGATCCTAGAACTTGCAATGGGAAGTCTTAAATCCTGACACTGGTCAGTGCAACATGATGGATTGTGATAACAATGCACTTGATTTGGGGCACAAGCCCTTCTGCACGTGAATCAGTGGGCATCACCTTCCTGAGCCCCTGGATGACTGCGGCTCTGCAGGCCCTGCACAGTCCCTCTTTCTGTTAAGAGTGAACAGTATCACACAGAGTCTCAGCAGATCTTGGAGACATGGCAGGCCTCCCAGTGTGGGCTCCAAGTCAGCATTGCCCTGCTGAAGTTGAACAAATGTAGCCTTTTGAGGCCGGAGGTCCTGCAAGTATGAAATAGTTGTATAACAAGGGATCTGATATTGTATTTGTTGGTTTTTGTTTTCTCACAATTTTCTTCCCATATTTTGATCACATGAGTACTTGGGATATTAAATTACAATGCCATTTAGATGCACGTCAAGTATGAAATTAATATAGTAGAGTTGATATTCCACATGTTAGCTAAGTTTTGATGTTTGTGGAAGTTTCAAAATATAGCCACAAACTCTTTGGCATATCCATCGCAAGAGGTAGGGGCTCTGGCTCCTCCCTGTGAGGAGGGTGGTTGGTGACTGCTTCCACCATGAGGGGAGGGTACAGTGAGCTAAGTGACCGGCAGCTAGGTCATGAAAGGCCATACAGCTTCCACACTGGGCACTAGAATGAACGCTTGCTCTTGGCGCTGGGAGCTGCCACAAGACATCCAGGTGCATGACAGCACCGTGATGAAGCCTCATGTAGGTGCTCTGCTCTGCCACCCCAGTCCTCACATCATCCCAGCAGAAATGCCAGCGACCTGAGGGAAGAAGCCTCTAGATCAGGGGTTGGCCCACATTTTCTGGAGGGTCCAGTCCGTGGGGCTTTGCAGGGCATATGAGCTCAGTCACAACTACTCAACTCTGCTGTCACAGCACAGAAGCAGCTATTGATGACATGCGCAGGAACAGCTGTGTTCCCCTCACACCTATTTGCACAGACAGGTGATGGGCCCGCAGGCTGTAGGTAGCTCACCCGTTTCAGATGATTCTAGTTTCTGGTCATTTGAGCCTGAGATGCCAGCAGAGAGGGAAGAGCAAAGACAAACCATTGCCCGTGAGCCCTGTGCACATCTCTGACCCACAGAATCCATCAATGTTTTGATGGTGTTTTGCCCCCACTATGTCTGGGGTGGTATGTTTCACAGCAATGGATATCAGCCCAGTTTTATACAAGGTAGTTTTATACAAGTGAGATTTGAGCAAAGGCTCGAAGGAGAAGAGTTAACAAGAGGGTGTGGGTCTGGGGGAGAAGCACTCCAGGCAGAGGGACGATTGGTGCGAAGCCCTGAGGTGGAGCTGGCCCGGTGCACACTAGCAATGGGGAGGGAACTGTAGAGCGGGCTCTGCTGAAGAGCCTGGGGACCCAGCCCCTCTCCGCACAGGCTGTAGGCCAGGCTTGACTGCAGGCTTCCCCACGACTGCGCAGACTGCCCGGGATTCCAGGGAGATGTGCCTGGTGAGCAGCTGTAGGGAGGGGCCTTCATGTCCCTGTCCTGGGGGAGATGCTGCAAAGCTGTTTTTCTTCCTGCTCCATGTTTCAGTTGGGCACAGGCCTGTCTGTCTCCTTCCCTCCATGCCTCCTCCTCACCCCCAAGGACACAGCTGCAGGCTCAGTGCAAGTAAAACTGCTTGTAGTCTCGAATAGGCTGCTCAGCAGCAGCAGACCCATTGCTGCGTCTGTTCATCTGGCCCCGTAGTCTGGTGTCTTCCTGTGGGACAGGGACACAGGAGCTGAC